CCAAAGACTGGTAGTCTAAGATCAGGGTACCAGCATGGTTGGGTTCTGATGAGGGCTGTCTTCCTGGTTTTCGGATGGCCACTTTCTCCCTGTGTCCTCCCATAGTGAAGACAGAGGGAGAGCTCTCTCCTGTCTCTCCTTATAAGGGCACTAATCCCATCATGTCAGCCTCACCCTTATGACCTCAGCTAACTCTAATTACTTCCCAAAGGCCCTATGTCAAATACTATCACATTGGGAGCTAAGACTTCCACATATAAATTGTGGGAGGATACAAACATTTAATGGGTCTTCTAAATCAATTTATTTTACCATATTAAGTTAATATCGTCCATCTTGCTATTATCCTAGTAGTTTGTGAACAAAGATGAAAGTTGGATCCGGAGTAAAGGAAATAGGAGATTCTAATTCTAATGCAAGAAACAATTGTGTATATTTTAGCAGCACCCCAAACATCATGTGCAACCACTAAAGGATGACCATGGAGTATTTGGCAAGTCTAAAGAAAAATTAATATCAAAATAATGAAAATAGCTCTACTGGAATACAAAACAATGTATTCTTTCTGGTGTTTCTTGAATACTATAAAGTTTAGTAACTATTCACTTTGCCATTGTTTCTTGGTTTTTATTATCTTGTCTTTTTCAAGTCTATTTATTCTATTTCTTATAAGTTTCTTGGCACAACGGTATTTTTATTTTATTTATTTTGTTTATCCTCTCCCCAAACTACTTTTTAGTGCATATATTATATTTTCAATAAAATTCAGTAACTAACAACTTTATTCTTTGACTAAATGCTCTTAAAGGTAGGGCATAGAACAAGGAATGTAGGAAATAATGGCTGAAGTTTCCACACCATCCAAACAGAGAAAGCAGGGAATGACAGCTAGAGAAAAGTTTGTAACTAACTATCACCTTTAGATTAAAAAGTGATCACAGTCCTCAGGAAAATAAAAATAAAAGTAAACACCCAGCTTATCACCTAATACTTAGAAGGGGCTCAAAAATATTAGTATTCCCTTTGCTGGATGAGGGCCCCAGTTCTTTGGTTTTCAATGTTCATACTCCCCCATCCTCTTCTGACCTTTTCTCTCTTCCCCTCTTCCTTCCTTCCAAAAAGTTTTATTGAGCACCTATGTGAGACTCCCAACATATTAAGATGAATACGATATAGCCCCTGTCCTCAAAGATCTGACATTCTAGTGAAGAAGTCAGATAATGAGGTAATTAGACTATGGTGTGACAATTGTTATAATTGAGGTAGTCTGGGGCTACTTTCAAAACACAGAGATAAGACTTAATGCAAACTTGAAGAGTGATGGAAGATTTCCTGTGAAGGAAGTGATATCCACTTTGAGCCCTAACGACAAATAGTTGAAGGTGGGTAGCAGTGGTAGAAGTGAGCATTAGTAGGTAGTCAAGCACAGAAGCCTATTAGGCTTTAGATAGAAAGGTCGAGATCTTTAAAAATTTATGTTTGGGTTTGTACAGTCTTGTAGCTATAAATGACTCAGAACAGTCTTTCTGTAGAGTACAACTGCTGAAGCACAGTGTTAACATCATCATTCTCTAGTCATGCATCCTTGACATATAGCCCATGATAAATTATCAGTGATCCAAACTCCATTTTCCTTATCATGTCTCTGTATAACTCTGCTTGGACAGTGTCTCAAATTATTTGCTTATTCTTCATAGCTAAGTAAGCACTGAGGGAGAATTTGACAGTTGTGGTATAGAAGGCAAGAAAACCACTAAAAAACACTGTGAAGCCTATTTCTTCATCAAGTACAACTTAGCATAGAACAGGTCCCTATTCTATTTTGTAATACCACAGAATCTCATTTCATTGTTGTTAGTTTCTCATATAACGTTATCATATTCCACTATTAAAAAACGAGGATATCATCACTTGATATATTTTTACAAATCTAATTAAAGAAAGTAGTAAAACATTAAGCTTCCAAAACCTTCAGTTAGAGAATAGAATTTTTGCTCTTCTGACAATAATTATGAGATTGAAATTGACTTCATATCATATATTTACTAATATTAGCTTTGGTTAAAAATAAACTAGTATAATTCATCTGGTTTTCAAAGAATAAGTGGACTCTTGAGTGCAACATACTTTTAAAATTTGCCCACAAGAAATTGTAGCTGTTTTTCAAATATATTCTGCTTTATAGTTGTTTGTAGAGGTCTATTTTATACATTCAGAAAAATCTCTTTTCCTCTTTCTACTTAATGATTCTACTGCAAATTGTCTATTATGTTTCCAGAAAAGAGCACAAAAGAATTCTGATTGAGCTTTGTTCACAATGAATGCAGTGGGAGGTGATATGGGCCAAAGGAGCCAAGGATGCAAAAAGCCAGAACATGAGTTTTGAAGTCAGATTCTAATTCAAGTCTCACCTCTTCCTTTAATAACTCTCATTCCTCTCTGCACAATAGGAGTAATAATAAAGGCCTACCAAAATGTTTTGAAGTCTGAGTCCTTTGAAGGATATAAAACATCACAAATATATAATAATCCAGTGTAATTATTAGTAGTGAGATAATAGTGTTTTCCTAAGAAAAACCGTGTGGACAATGTGGACAATGACATTTATGAAATTTCCATAGGTAATCTATTGGGTGAGTTGAATACTGGAATGAAAAAACCTATAGGAAAAGGGTTAGCATACTTAAAATTGCAAGTCACAGTGAAAAATCATAAGTTACCCAATAATCCTATAAATTCATTTCTTTTAATTAAGATGATAGAGAAAGGTTTCCACTTGGAATGACTTGATTTTTAATATACTATCAAAAGGGCTCTCTGTCTCATAAATGCCCCTACATATAATATAGAGAGTGAAAATAACTATTACATGTAGTTTTTTACAGTATTTTTATTTGAAAATTATAAGTTTTTCTTCCAAAGGAAGAAAAAAATGAACTTCTAATAATAGAATTATTCTTTGGATATTCTCAAATATATCATAAGACTAATTGCCATGTGCAATTAATCAAACAAACAAAAAGGCATGCTAGTGTATCTGTAACCCCTATGCAATATTAATAAGCCATTATGAAACTGTATTTTTAATCTTAAAAAAACCTTTATGAAACATTCACTCCATTTGTGTTTTACAGCTCTTGAAAACAGAGAGACATATGTAAGACATTTTGATAACTATTAATAAAAAAAAAGTGACTTAGAGAATAGTGTTAATCATATGATTGAAGTTGTAAAACGACAACAGTTCCTATTAGGTACCTATTAGGTTAGGTCTGTGACTAACATACTTCCAGAAGGTGCTGGAAGGATAGATACCAGCTAAAGATTGCCAGCACTTTCCTCCAGTGAAGGGAGTAAGAGTGTGCTTAGGGGTAGGGAACAGTGACTTTCTCATTTTGCCTTGAATGCTAATGTTTTATTTGAATCTTTGAAATAAGTGTTCATGTGTTATTTGTGTCAAAAATAAATAAATACAGAGAGGTGAGCCACAGGAAGAGCCATTTATGCCTACCCATATCATCCTGACAGCAACTAGACTTCTGCAGTGGCCATAGATGCTATCTCCCAAAGACATTAATCAGCACATTCATCAAAATACAAATACCTAGTAAATGTTCTAAAAAGTATCACTTAATTCAATTTTGTTTGGAATGACACGTTTTAATAGAGGACACAATGAGTATGCTTGAGTTCAAGCTCTCTGAGATGGCATAACGTGGGGCTTTGGGAGGGTGACTCCCGAAGGATTAATGGAACCAAGGCAGGAGTGATTTATCCCACTGAGCTGTTCCACTGCTCTAGAAACAATGCTCACTTTTTTATGCCTGTTTTTTTTTGTTGTTGTTGTTGTTGCTTATTTTTTTAGTGTTTGACTTGTTTCTGAAAAATGTAGAGAAGACAAAAACATTCAACTGTTTCCTCAGTAAGACAAGGCCAGTGCTCTATAAAAAGTTGGCTGATCCCCTACCCCCTAATTACCTTACAACACTAAGCCCTGACAGAAGGCCTGTCAGCAGATTTTATTTACAACCCTTAAGGAAAAATCCTCTTGCTGTTTTCACTTCATACAGAAGATAAGTTTGCAAAGGAAACATTTGGCAGTACTTCAGATGCTCGCTGTCTGGTGGTGTTGATAATACGATTTTTTTTTATTACAGCAGCATTTATAATGCTTTATCATTCATGTAGACCAGCACGCCCCAACTGACTATATTTATCAACCAAGCAGACATCATAATTCATGCAATTATGTGAACTGTTTAATCTTTTCTCTTACTATAAGTTTAGAACCTAGTTACAGACTGATTTTACGCTGAATTTTATTGTTGAAGGAGGTCATGCTCCACTTGACACACCTACAAAATGTCTTTCATTAAGAGGTCAGGTGACCTGAAATATAATTATAGAGAATTTACTAATATTTATCATGTTTTAAAAGGAATGTCAAAGTATCATGCAGATAACTAATATGTAGACTAAAAACATGTTTTTCTTTTTTGTTAATAGAGTCAGATTCACATAATGCACAATAGCCCTTAAATAAAAATTCTGTTGTGTAAGAGTCACATTTTATTTAAAATGTCTCACAAATAAAAATGCACCCAGAAAGATAAAGCAAGACTACAGTCATTTTTTTTTTTCCCTGTCTAGTAGAAGGAAGAAATAAAGGTGGCTTGGTATCTCTAAATTGTGTTATTGAGCATGTAAACAGCATCCCAGAATGATATAGGTTCTAAAGTCATTGCAAAGTCTATCAAAATTGTGCAACGCAACAGGTGAAAAGTCATCTGTGGAAATATGTATAAAATAAACATGCTGTCCATTGTTTGGACTAACTCCCGTGGGTGAAGCAGCATCTTCCATAGCACAGATGAGCAGGACAATCAATATATGGTTTAAAATTACACACTTTGGAAACAAGGCTACATCTATTGCCTATTCACAAATGTAATGAAAGAGACCGAGGAGGGCGCAAATAAAACAAAAATACATTTACTCACTGTGTTAAAATTTGGAAAGAGCCCAACAGCAGAACTATTGTCCACTGGAAAAGACATAAATGGTTTGATATCCAGTGAAGGCTGCATCATCAGGGTAGGTGTGCGCACAAGAGCAGGAAGGGTAGTAGTGTGGCATGTACTGCCTGCCAAGAACAAAACAAAAAGGAATTCAATCTCTTGCTCACATCCATCTCCCTCCCAAACCTACAGTGCAAAAGCAAGACCGCTGAGCTGCAACCTGCGAGCAAGAGAGTTATGCTGGAAGTAAGCAAATGGCACAAGAGTAGTAAATACAATTGAAAAGGATCTTCCTCCTCATTGTCCAAGACAGTGATGCAGAACACTTCCCTATGGCAAGGGACAAGGGCTGCTCAGACCCAGCCGAGACACCCAGTGCACAGATCCTGCTGGCAGGTAGGGCAGGCAGAATGACAATGTCCTGTTGTCCAACCCGTTGTCTCTGACTAGCCAAAAATGCAGGAGAGAAGAGGGGAGGGGCCTCTTGAAGCCAGATGCTCTTTACTATTCAGAGTTACTGAATGGCTAGTAGGCATGTTTTATGCAAATCAGAGATAATTATAGGGTTTTTACAAAAGGAAAAATACTTAAACTCATAGTTACTGTCTGCTCTCAAGAAAGTTATGACTCAACTTATTCTCTTAAAAAAAAAACAAACTGAAAGTTGCTCTAATTTTGAGGGAAATAGGTAGTCTAGACATTAGAGAGTTAGAGAATGTAAAAGGGTTTATTATGGTCTGGCTTGCGGATAGGGTAGTAGTTGGGACAGGGAGTAGTTGGGACAGGAATTCAAATTTTTGTCTCCAACTTTTATTTCTAAGGAGTTTTGTATTATTTTAGCAACTATCCCTTTTAACAGTTATATTAGCTGTTACCTTTTCAAATATCTTGCTAAATGCATGAGTAGGGGATTGATAACACTCCTCTCCAGTAACAAGCATTCTTTAGCCTGTAGCTTCCATGTAGTGCAGATAAGTAATTGCTGGTGCAGGTGGCTCTCTGGGAGATAGGCTCTGGCATGCCTTTTTTTTTCTTTAATATAACTGCTTTATTGAGATATAATTCGCATACCAGACAAGTTACCTACTTCAAGTGTACAATTCAATGGTTTTTAGCATATGCACAGAGTTGTACAGCCATCCCTACAATCAATTCTAGAACATTTTCATGACCTCTAAGAGAAACCCCATATCTTTTTGGCATCACTCTCCATTTTCACCCAACATCCCTAGCTCTCGGCAACCACTAATCAGTTTTCCATCTCTATAGATTTGTCTATTCTAAACATTTCACTTAAATGAAATCATACAATCTGTAGTCTTTTGTGACTGGCTTCTTTTATTTGACAATATTTTCAAGGTTTATTCATGTTGTAGCATGTATCAAAATTTCATTCTTTTTAAGGCTGAATAATACTCTACGGTAGAAATGTCCCACATTTTACTTATATATTCATCAGCTGATGGGCATATGAATTGTTTGCACTTTTTTGTCTATTATGAGTGATGCTACTATGAATATTTGTTTACAAGTTTTCATGTAGACATATATGTTTTCAGTTCTCTTGGGTATATATGTAGGAGTGGAATTTTGGGAATTACTGGGTCATTTGGTAACTGCCAGACTGTTTTCCAAAGGGTCTGAAATGTTTTACATTACCACCATCAGTGTATGAGGATTCCAGTTTCGCTGGTTTGTCTACATAGGATCTCATAATAATTATATACCCCAAATCTCCTACTGACTTCAAGGAGAAATGAAAAATATGAGAAAATGCTCCAACTATTAAAATTTCCACCAGTCTCTTACACAGTGTCCCAGAATCATTAAAATTTCTATTTCAATGATACTTTTTTTGGTAATGAATTTCCTTAATAAACCCTGCATCATATTTCAAATCATTCCAGAACATTATTGGCAACAGTGTTTAATGGACTGTCATACTTCATTTACATTGATCCTATAAACAGAAAAAAAAAAAAAAAAAGGAAAGGGTGCCTGAAGCATTTCTCTGTAATGGCAAATTGTCAGGTCAGCCCCATCCATTAGGGAATATAGAGTAGGATTCAACAGGGAATCAGCCAAAAGTATAGATTAAGCAGTAATGCTTTTCTCTGATGTCCAAGGAAATACTCTGATCTCAGCCTATCATTCACACAACCACCCTGTATTTAATTACAACTTAGTCTTCTAATTAGTAATATTACATTGCTAACTTCAGTGCTTGTAGATCCAAGATGACGTATTATAGCAACATGTCAAATGTTGTAGAGGCACTTATTAAAATATTTATTTTAAAAGCTTTGCTTTAAATTCTTAGCTAAATTTAAAAAAGAGATATTTCTTATAATAGAGCAATGACCTTTTATAATTTATTATCATTTTAAAAAATACTAAGTATAAAAAGTAAGTATACAGAATCATTCTACTTAAAGCTGCACCATGAACAAATTTGTAATTATTTTGCCATTGTGGATCTCCCAAAGGGAAGCAAAGTTCTTTCTCTAAGCCCACAATGGTGGCTCTGATAACACTGTGTAATACATGGCCCCCCAAGGGCCTGGTGAGAGTCACTTTGTACTAACAAACTCAAATCAAATAGAATGCTACAGGGAACTTCACAAACAGATTGCTCCATCAACAAAGGTCGGAATGCACAATGATCTCCCTTACCCAATCAAATCTCTATGCTAATAAACACAAGGCTTGAGAACTACTTAGCTGCCACCATTCATTAGCATAAAAAACTGAGCAGCTGTTTACCATTTCATTAGCATTTTAATGACAGACAATTTGCCACGTTAAACACAGATTGTTTTAAAGTACTGGTAGATCTTCTGAATAAATATAAACTATGCTTTTATCAATCCTTCACCTCAACCTTGCTGTTTTCACTTTTAAAACCTGCTTTTTAATACTTCTTTACCAAGACTGATTGCTTCAAAGGAAGTTTTTTTTTTCAAATGGGAAATAAATAGGAATAAAGTGCATTTTTCTTTTTTTTTTTTTTGGTGCAGGTTATTTCATGCTTTGATCCTCTGTCATCTTATTCTAGATTTTGTTGCTGCTGCTGCTGCTGCTAAGAAGCCTTTCTCCTCACCTCCGGGTACACAAAAGTCAGTGTGAGTTACAAGCAGAAATTTGGCCAAAATGTATTGCACCTGTAAGAACATGCTTGATTTCTCTAAAAGTCAAGGACTTGATGAGAAAAAAAAAGTTGAAAATATAATGAGCAGACATTTCAATTCAAAGGGTGAATATAGACCTTACATGGCTGTTCTCATGGGACAGGACCAGCCTTTGACTCTTTTGTATGAACTATTTGGCAATATTATATAAGATACCTCCTATTTGTAGCTCTGTTTCAGAGCATAGGATATAATCTGGTGTATATCAGAATGAATAAAGTCATAATAGGGTTCCATATTATTTGATAATAAGGCTTTTCATATCACTGAATGTGTGTGTATGTAGATATATATATATATATTTTTTTTTGCCAAACTTCCTGTACTAAAATGAAATACACACATATAATAAGCATACCATAAAGCTCTAACCGTCACCACTCTCACCATGGAAATCCTATATCAATATACTTTCCTGTAAGAATGCAGCTAACTCTCTTCCATAAATTTCATTTTGATGGTCAAATACAAGTTGTATTCATCTATAAATATGAAACCAACAATATATGAAAGACAACTCCCCACTGTCATCATAAGAAAACTATTATTTCAGCCAACTGCCTCTGTAACATAATAAGTGCCTTACTATGTTAGTGGATTATGCTATAACACATCACAATAAAACCTCACTGAGGACAGGTGAAATTCTTGCCTCTGTCTTTGACCTTCAGAAATATGACCTTGAAGGCCCATTTAGGTTACAGCTTTGAGGCTTCCCAGTGACTCTTCTTTGCATACTGTACTATACATACCATAACAGAAACAAAACACCTCATTCTTCAAAAGGAAAATACACTAGAGTCACGAAATATGCATGAAAAAGCATTTGCAGAATGAGATCAAATCTATGTCTATTCTATAACCTGCAAAAGTAGTTTATTCTTATGCTGCTATTATGTATGCCCACCTCAGTGAGTACTGAAATAAAAAACATATTATAAAAACCTATTAGGGGAGGCAATGTTAATTATAGAACTCCCAAAGATTTCTATAAAGAAATTAAAATGAGTAGCATTTCAGATTTTCTGCCAAACTCAGTTTTCTCTTCTTACTGCTTTCCAAGCTTTGTGGGCCCTTGTACTGTGTATCTTTTTCTCTTACCAGGATAATTACCAAGCATCTCCTCCATTTCTCTTCTCAGCATTGCCATTCTTCCAGCACTATGCTATATGAGAAAAATAATTTACCAAGAGACCATTAAGTGTGGTCACTAGGAAGTGGTTATGTGAATAGAGGATGTGACTGATAAAGAGTTTTGCTTCTGAAAAGGTTACACAATAATAATAACAACAAAGATAACATTTTTATAGCCTACTGTGTACCAGGAACCACCCTAAGCATATTACATATGTGTGTACACATGTATACTACTCATGTATAACTATCCCCATATTTGTATATATGCTCATTTAATCCCCACAATAATCCAATAAATAAGGTACTATTAATAGACCCATTTTACAGATGAGAAACAGAGGCACAGAGATATTAAGCCCAACTTCATACAGTTTACTTTATGGAGAAGCCAGTATTAAAACCCAGGCAATTTGACTTTTGAATTATGCTTTTTCCTCCTATGCTATGGTCACCAAATTATATAGCTGAAAATATTCCAGTTATATAGACACATTCTTTAGCTGTATGTAGAAGCATTTCACCTTCAAACTAAAAGATTTAAAATGTTGGGCCTCCAAACAGGTAAGTTTATAGTTGAGAGTTAGTTAAAACTTTTATTTGACCTTAGTGTGGTGTATGATACTAAATAACTAAAATATATAATAAAAACTTTTAATGTTCTATAAGACCTGCTTCTAGAATATATTTGTCTAATAATAATCTTCCCCAAATAGCAGTATTATTTAATTCAATAAATATTTATGAGGGACCAACAAGGCACAGTGCTGGCAGCTATAGGGATTATAAACTGAATCAGATAG